TATTTTTTCTTCAGTCTCACGAATGCCATTTGTGGGACAATGTTTTGAGTTATTACAAACATACTCAATCCTCAAAGACCCGCACTCATGTTCATTCTTTATGGAGTTGTGGAAACCTGTTTCAATCGATGGTCTAAACTAAGGAAAAAACGAAAGAAAGAAAGAAAACCATTGATAGTTACTTTACCTGTGATTAGACGTTGTGGTCGTCGCATATTTTAGCCAAACTGGCTGGCTGCGACGTCAACAACAAACACAACAAGACTGGACATAAAGCCATAATTCCATGTATATTTTTAACCATATTCCATGGTGACATATAAACGCACTCTCACACACACACGCACACGGGCATACTCCCCATGCCATACATATTGACAAATACGACCAATCCTACCATTGCGGAATGAGGGAAACGAGTTAAGCTATTTCGAACGGAAGCGTTACACATTTAAAGACGGTGACTGCCAAAAATGTAGAATGAAACGAAACGCAACTAACAAAAAAACACCGACTAATGCCCAGATTTAGATGTAGTTTTAAGTAGTTATGTATACTTGTTCATTTGCCCATTTTTTCTCCATTTCTTTCCTTGCTTTCATGTCCGACTGACCAGTGTAGAAAGTTTTGTGAACTGAACGACCATTACCACAAATTTGTGAACTTAAGTAATTACCAAGTCGATGGCAGAAATAACAATTCGCCATATACGTTAATACATTTTCATTCTTTGTGACAGTACCACACCACAATATTATGACGATGTTTACGAATTTAATTATGACGAAGATTTTACTCATCGGACAATTATTCGTTTTGTAATTATATTTTTGTTATCGAGTTTAAGGTCTACAGAGAAGAGGCCCTAGGATATGAGTCAATGACGAATCTCGTTTAAACTCATCTTAAAAATGTTAAATTTGCCACTTACATATATGTGGTGGCCTTGTAAATACAATACATAAAAAGCATGTTATTGAGGTCAAAAACTATCGTTATCTTATCGTTATATCGTCGTGGAAAAGTATTATGGAATATAGTGTTCTTTGGATTACTTGGGGCCCAATGCCGAAAATAATTGTACATCTGTTTAATGAGAGCGTCAATTAAATCAAGTGCCCTAATTGGTTATGCAAACATTTGCAAATTCCGTTATATAAGGCTAACCGTAAAGTACCCAAAGTGTAAACAGCAGCTAATTTGGTAGAAATTTGGGGCCGAAACATAGAACCCGAAATATCAAATAGCAGCTAATTTAATTCTAAACCTTCAAAATACCGAAAAGCAGGGCTACCATTATATGGATCTAAACCAAAAAGTGGACCACTTTTCCATTTCCTAGAAATATAATCAATGCCTGGATGGATCTCGATAATATATATTTAGAGGTTTTAAAAACGGATTGCCAAATTTAAAAACGTTACACATGACGGAGGGAATATAAAAATAAAATTACACAGATTTGTTTAATGCTAGATATAAGACTTGTCTGTCTAGAATTATTCCCAAAGATGACAATTACAGGGTGAAATGAAAAAATTGCAACCAATTTCGGACTACTGTCATTTCTAAGCCACTCGTCCGACAGCTGTTAAAACTATTCCTGTGACAGCTCATTATATTGTTTACAAGCGTACAAAAGCATTTTCCATTGCTTGCGAGCTGAACATATCGCAATATTCCATTCGGCAGAGCCATTTGAAATTCCAAAAAATTCAAGAACTTACACCGCAACAGAAAGTGTCCAGTTTGTAAATGTGCCCCTTCGGTTCGCCACCATCACCGGCCATGCTGATGGTGTGGGCCGCCATAATCGAACGTGGCATCAGAATAAATGTCGTATATTATCGCGGAAATATTCTGGAGGGCCTTGGGCAAGTACTCAGCACGCGCCACCCAAGAATGATTACACAATGAGGTTCCTCGCTTCATTTCCAGCGCACAATGGCCAGCAAAATCTCCGGATACTAATCCTTTGGACGATTGTGTTTGGAGTATTTTGGAATGCAAGGCTGGCACTAAAGAATACCAAAGCAAGCGCTTCGCCGGAAATGGGTCAAAATACCGCAGAGCAACATTCGGGCAGCGTGTGACGGTTTTATTGGCCGTTTGAAGGCCATAATTCGTGCCAAAGGTGATCAATTCGAACAAATCTAAACTAATTCCTAAATTTGATGTTATTTCTGACATTTTTGGCTTTCATTCAATGAAATTAAAAAAAAAAAAATGTAAAAATGATGGCGTTTGACTTTGTTGCAGTTCTTTTTTTATCTCAATTAACGTTTTATGTCGCCACGTCGAGAGAAATAGTTTTGAAAGGACAAATCACATCTCTCAACTTTTCAGGGCGGATAAAATCTCAAAATGGAAATGTTGTGGTTTAATGGCTATTTGGTCCAATGTGTTATTGATGGTTTTGGTTCAATTGGTTTCATATCGACACTTAAAGCTTTTCGTCATAATTTTTTAAGGTTTCATCTTTGATGCCAAATTTGGCAGTGATTCGTCAAAACTCATAACCCAGAAGATATGTCAACTAACATTCCAAATGCACAGTAATTTAACACAATGTCGTCTATAACATTTTAAAGAAAAATGCCAACACTGTTCTGTGAAATGTTATTAGAAAATGAATATAAATAGAATTCTTAAGTAATTTTTTTGTAAAATACAACTGCAATAAAAAAGTAAATAAATCTTCTCTGGCATATTAACGGTTTACTATCTGTCTTACGTAAACATTTATGACTACTTCAATAAAATATGCAACAAAGGCATGATTCTAGACTTGCGAATTGTTTTTCATTTAAATTATACAAAATCGTTGCTCATATTACTGACCTGGTCGTGTGCACATAATTTTAAAATCAGCGCGAAGTTGTTGAAATGTAAAAGCAAATAATTGCAATTGGGTCACTGAGAAATATTGAGTATGTGTTTTTATACATATATATAGAAACAGCTGTATTTTTACCAAATAAATTCAAATTTGTAAGTTAGCATTGAAGTGTGTGAGACAACGAAAATCCTAAAAAAAATATTTTTATGTTTTTATTAGAACAGTGCTGACGTTTATTTGTTGGGATATCGTATTTTGTTCTTTCAATATGGCCAGAATTAAACTCATTTTTTTCGGTTTTTAAATTTCTTTATTATTTATACCTCTACCATAGTATGGAGGGTATATTAAGTTTTTCATTCCGTTTGTAATACCTCGATATATAAATGGAAGACCCACAAAGTATATATAAATTCTTGATCAGAAAAAATCTATCTATCTCTTCGTCTGTGGAATTGACTCTAGTTCCCGAAAGGAATGAAGTAGGTTGATAAAATTTGACATAGATGTGTGCTAGGTCTGCAGGTTGTTTTAGTCAAAGTTTGGCAGACTATTTTCCCATTATATAAGAAACATACTTGTATAGAACTGTCTATACAGGTCTAAGTTTAGGTATAGTTTCGGCATTTTGATGATTAGGGGTAACACAAATACTACGAATGTTTGAAATTTGGAAGTTGAAGTTTTCGTTCAGCCCCCATATAACGATGCCTCCCTACATTCGGTATTTTTACGATTTTAGCAGTATTTTACAACGGAGATTTTTTTAAATTTGCAAATTCCTTCCAAATGGGTATTCAAAGTTCGGTCCAGCCAAACTTACTGCTTTTTTAATGTTTGAAAAACATACATATATTGTAAATTTCGATCATATGTTAACTTTTAATGTTGTTTTAAAAACCTAATACATATAGTCCCAGCTATTAAATCGCGTAAATCGGAGAAAAGTGACAATGTTGACCAAATGGTAAGGCATGAAAGAGTATTATTTAGGAAAATACCATCAATCCTCATCAGTGTTCTTGCTTGGTTGTCCTTAGAGTTATATAAAATCAATGGAAGTTGTGGCTGGAAGAACTTTTTATGCCAAAGTGACGATCGTCAATAAGAGAGAAAACCGAGAAACAAAGTTCACTTGGCGAACTGATCGTCATCTTCCTCCTCTAAAATATAAAAGTACAAACAACAATATCTAGATTGGACATGGAAAGCCTGGCTATTTAAAAATAATATTATTATTTTACGTATTAATTTTTAGTTCTTTTTCTCGAACTTTCTCTGTGCTCAAGATAGGAGAACATAACATGACGTTAAGTTGGAACTTTTCACAGTCCTTATACTAAACTCAACTAAGCGACATTTTTTTGAAAAAAATATATTTGTTTAAATCCTTTGTTAAAAGACTAGTTTAGTTTTATTGGAATAAATTCTCATACAATTTTGTTTCACCGCCGACCATATACATAATAGTATTATTTCATTAAAGGTTATTTACAATTATAAATTTGTTTTTTTAGAAATAAAGAAAAATAACTTTTTTGTACAAGTTGTTCTTTAAACGTTAAACATATACTTCTAAAAGCCAACTTGAACAATAAACTACCAAAATAGAAATTCACCAAAACGGTGTTATTCTTCCAAAAATTAATAAAATACAATCGACTTTTTTCTTCCAGGAAGTTAGAAAAACAGAAATTTCATACGATTTGTGTATTTCAAATCAAAACATAGGAAATACACATAAACTACAGACACTCACACGCATTCACCCAACTACAAATATTATTATTATTGCTGTCAATCTCTGAAATTATGTCATATCCACTTCAGTTCAAGTGCTTTATTCAGACCCATAATGATTTTGCGAATCTAAAAATACCCCCATGTGTGAGCGAACGAGTCAGTATGACTCACTACGAACAGCTCATATCTGCAATATCTGCATGTCTTTACAGGTTTACTGTATGCGATGAATAGCGTTAACAAAAGCACTGAAAATAGCTGTCAATTTCAATTTAATAATCTTTTTTTTTTTTTTTCATTGCATCTATGTTCAATCGAACAAATTCGAAATTATTTGGCAATGCGAGCGAGAGTGGGAAAACAAAAGACTTAAGACACAAACCTATGCACACACAAAAATACATATTCATGTACTTACAATTCTTGACAGATGTATAGCCCTCGGCGGCACTGCTCGTGGTATCGCCGCCATTCATTAGGTGACCATTCGATTGCCGTCCAACACTGTTCAGGGTGGTGATGCTTCCCGCCCGGGATCTCCATCCAGCGTGGCTGGCTGACGATGACGGTACATGATGATGGTGATGATGATTGCCATTCGAGAGGCCCACACTGGTCAAGTCGCCATTCGATTTGCTGGCCATCATATTGCTTTTGAGTGTCCCATAAACACTGCTGCCTGCACCGCCGCCTGTACTGCCCGTCTCCAGTTGGCGAGCATACGAATTGTCGGCATAGGCATGGAAACAGCATCTGACTAGAGCATTTGCAGCTGCCTCGCGCTTGCAAATGAACACATGACATTCCAGGACTTTGATGCCGGTGGTGCGACGCAGAATTGCTGCGAAAATCGGTGGATGTTGGGCACGCGGCATGCGTGCAAATGGTGAGTCGAGCGGAAGAAATTTCGGTTCAGGGTTTGAGTTGCCACGTTCGGGTATGAGGACCTGCCGAACTGCGGCGCAGTAATGCAACGACTCTATGGGAAAGAAACGGGTGATTTCCTTGAGATTTTCATCGACATTTTCCAATAGAATTCCATTCGACCATACGCTGAGCCACGAGTCAATGCCTTTGGCCCCGACTGCACCCTCCGAGGGGTAAAGACTGCGTAATGGTTCCTGAATACCCTGCAGACCATCCTTGCTTTGGCGCGGCACTGCGCTACCCAAATAGAGTACACGGCACCGGCAAATTGGGGTTGAGTCACCCATTTTAATGGCGGAGCTTAGTGTCTCCCGTGGTTGGATATGAATAATGTGGGTCCGTCCCTTTTAATTCGGTGGAAACAAATGGTTAGCGAAATAATTCACTTCCTTGAGAACACGTTTTCAATGAAATGTCGATGCCACCAATACCAGCTCACATTCACAAACACGCATGGACAGCAAAGATGAAGAATGTGAACAAGAATTACAAACAGCAAAACAACTACAAGAAATATCCGCACAAGAGTGTGGCGTAGAATAGAGCGTTTTAGTCGCTGTCTTTGTATTCGCTGGCTTAGAAATGTGACAAGACTTCGTATGAATAACGTGATAATAAAGCGGGTAACGCAACGTCAAAGCGGCGGAATGTTCAGAAGTGGAAAAAATCCAAACAAAAGAAACAAATCAAGCGACGAAACAACCGACAGACAGACTCTTAGGCAGACAGACTGTTGGTATCTCAACGTCTTTCTGTTTTGGTATTCTATGTATGTGTTCTATCGTCGTAGTCGTCGTGGTCGTCGTCGTTGTTGTCGTAGATGTTAGCTGATTCTGTAATTGCTATTGTTGTTGTTGGTGTTTTTGTTTTTGCCGCTGCTGTTTGTTAAGTAAATATTGCTGTTGCTGCCACTGCCGTTGTTAGTTGGTTGGGTTGGCAAAAAGGTTGTATTTCAGGTTTAGACGCTGTAGAATTTCTAGGTTTCTTCGAGAAACTCTTTTTTCTTCGGAATTCTTTTATTTTTTCTTCAATCTCCGCTATTGTACTGCGCGGTGTTCACTGCCCGTTCGTTGTTCTTGTTCTCAGCTCTGTTCGGTGTTGTTGCAATTGTTTATTCTCGTCGTCGTAGGCTAATGTATTCGTTTAAGATTTCAGATACTAGTTTAATTATGATATTCTTATTCTTCTTAGTCGTACTGTTGTTTTTACACTTATTTTTGTTGTATCTTCTCGTTGTTCTTGTTTTGTTTTTTTCTTCTTCTATCTAAATGATATTTTAATTTCAATCAATTGTGGGTATTACACAGATTTTTGTATCGGACCTGGGATCAAATTGCAAAATAAATCAAATGGCGTAAAGGAATTTTGATATTTCTTCATCATATTGTTGTTGTTGTTGGTTTAACGTTAGCGGCTGTGCCTGTTATTGGTTTTGGTGAATTTTTAATTTTTTTATTTTTTGAATTTCTTTCTCAAACAATTTGTGGAATTTTTATATTTTCTTCTTTCTTTTTTATTGTGCTTGTGGATGGAAGTTTTAACGATTTCTCTTCGAAAACAACAAAATTTATTTTTATTCGTAAAATCGTAAAAGATTTTTATTTAAATTTGCACTTTTCACTTTGTTAATCACATCACATCGTCGTCACCAACTCGCATACCAATGCAGAGCATTCCTACACGGACAGGGGTACACACGCACACACGTCCAAATGCAACACACTCTTACCGTGCATATACGTATGTATGTATGAACGCGACGACACGGGTATATGAGACTTTGAAAAGTTCACAGCCGACCGTCAGAGCGACCGATAGTTAGAAAGACACACACCGATTCGTTGGAGGAATGGATAGAATAAATAACAAATGTTTGCTTGCTTATCCGCTCGGATGGATTGATGGTGTGTGTGTGTGGTGCATGTGTATGGGTAAAGTTGAAAAAATGTCAGTTCACTTGTATGTGTGTGATGCGAACAGAGGAGGAGAAAAAATCAAAGTAAAAAATTACACACTGAAACGCGGAGCCCGCTTAATCCACATCCGTACGATCGTTGTTGACGCGGCGCAGGTTCACTCAAGAATAGCTCAACGTGTGTTTTTCCTCAAGTAAATTCGCTGATGTAGCTGTTGTCTAGACGTTCGGCCTAAACTCGACTGAGTTGTTTTACCACTTTTTACAGGTTTGGCATTTCGTATACACGTAGACGCGCACATACTTGATTCCATGGCTCTCATGCCATTCGCTCATTTACTCTTGTTGGCCGTCTTTAAGGAATTGAGCCAGAGCGAGAGTGAGCGTGAGAATTTCTTAGTCTCTTCGTTGCACAGGTGAGAATTTCCGTGAGACAAAGAGTCGATTTGTGCTTTACCTGAATTCGGAGATCCACTGGTTTAAACAAGCACAACAGGTAGTTTGTTGTCCGATAACACCACTCAGGTTATTAAGGGTGTATTGAATTTGGATTACCAGCTGGGATTGCTGAATTTTCGGTTAATTGGTATGCCACTCATTGGATGTGTTTCCCAAATCGAATTTTGCTTTAAAAGGAATTCCCAAAAAAGTACTGTGTACATGGTCAACGGTTGATTATACGGTGCAAAATGCAGACATTCCACAGTACGGTTCGTATAGGTGGTTATGTTAATTGTTTCAGCTCATTATTCCTCCCATTTATGGTTCTTCAACGACCGGTCTAAATGTCAATACTTTGAAGGCTCTTATTCAATCGCACTATATATACTATTTTATAACCTCAACCATAATTCGTTCCAATAGATCGTGTTAGGTCTCTTTAGAACCCAAAATCTACAATTTGTTCAGTGTCACAATTTTTTCAGTCAAAAGTTCGTATTTAAAAAAGATCGTACTAAATTTGCAGACTTTCAAAGTTTTATGTATAACAATGTACCCACATCCAATTTTTTGACCAGAACTATTTCAACGTCTCCATATGTAAACCCTAAAAACCAATAGTGACCTAAATATGAAATTTGAACAACAGACACCTCAATATAAAATTCCCGGATTCCAGCTCTATACATTCATTCAATACCAAATTTAGTACTTAAATGTCAAATTTCAGAAATTACCATTCAGTACTTTTTGTACAATTTTCAAAACCAAATCTCAATCACTTTATGTGCACCCAATACAAAATTGTACTAAAAAATCTCAATACCAGCATTTCAACGAAAACGGAAATGTATCAAATTTAGTACAGCCATTACACCTTGTACTTGATGTAAGGAGGTGGTCTTGTTTTCCCCAAATTCCAAACTTAATACTATTTATTACTTTTAAGTACATATTTCCAAATCCCTCGCCAGGTATCAATCAAACCTCACAAAAGCTGGACCTAATTACAAATTGTAGAACTTCAACCCACATGCCAAATTTAGTCCCATTTAGTATTTGTTAATACGTATTTCCAAGACCACCGCCAAATCTCAACCCTACGCACTTACAGTGATCTTAATGACAAATTTAAAATTTTACGTAATTCGAGATTTAGTACCTTTCCTACGCTTGCTGAACGCATTTCCAAACCCATATTTTTATCTTAACCCTGGCCACCAGCATAGATCCCAGTACCAACATTTTAAATGTCCAGATCAATCCGTTGAAGCAAAACCAAATTGTACCAAATTTAGTACGGTTGAACACCAAATGTCAAGATTTTAGTTGTATCCGTTCACAAAATACCAAAAGGTGCGAAATTAAGTGATTTTAGTACTTTCAATACACTTCCAGTCCGAATTTCCATATACATATGTTTGTGTGTGTAGAAGAATACGATTGTCTTCAAATTTCTCAGTATTTTTATCAATACAAGATCTGATAGGAAGGTGGAATATAGCGGACCATTCCTTCTAATATCTCCCCTACAAGGGGTCAAAATTGGGAATAACTAGAACGCCCATGAAATGTGAAATAATCATCACGACAACATTTTTATACTATCGACCATAGTATGAAGTTTGTCATTCAGCTTGTAAAATCACGAAATTTATTTTTAGACGATGTCCGTCCGTTATTATGTTATTTTTCGACGGAATTGTTAAAAATATGGCAGCACATATAACGTTTCCCCCTGATTTTCAGATATTAATATTAATTTTAAAGCCATTGTGTCAACCGATTTTTATACCATCCACCATAGTATGGAGGGTATATTAAGTTTGTCATTCCGTTTGTAACTCTATGAAATATACAATTTAGACCCCACAAAGTATATATATTCTTGATCAGCATAAAATTTTATGTCGATTTAACGATGTCCGTCCGTCTGGGGAAATCACTCTAGATTCCGAACGAAATGAAGCAGGTTAATAAAAATTTAGTCAAATGTGTTTTATGTCTGCAGGACTGGGTCATGTAGGTCCATGTCTTCGAATAGCCCCCATATAGCATTACCTCCCGATATTCGGTATTTTGATGACTTTAGCGACATTATTTTCCGGAATTGTTTTAAATTTGGTACTTGAAGTTCGTAATGGATACTACGGCCTATGACAGAAAATTATCTGTGCAGGTTCACGTCTTCGTATAGCCCCCATATAACAGTACCTCCCGATATTCGGTATTTTGATGATTTTAGCTACATTACAAATAGATTTTTTTTTCAAGTTTCGCATTTGAATATTATAATAGCTTATGGCAAGAGTTGTCTATGCAGGTCCACGTTCTCGTATAGACCCTAATATACGGCTACATTCAGTATTTTTAAGATTTTTACAGAATTTTTAAGGGATTTTATTTTTTTTTTTAATTTCAAAATTTGTTCCAAAAGGGTGGAGGGTATTTAAAGTTCTTCTTGGTCGAGCAGCTTTTTTATTTGTTTTTTTTTTTTGCAAAAAAATTGATGATTTTTCTTTTATACTTCGCAAATTAGTAGTAAGAGTTCGACGTTATATTTATTTCCTTCAGTATCTCCATAATAAATTGTCAACATTTTGAAAATTAAATAAATGTTATATTTGGCTGAGGGGTATACATATATCTTCAAGAGATCAATTGGAGTTTTTCTTTGATTATTCTTTCTGAATCAATTAAAGATTTTCTCATTTTACCCTTAAAGTCTCCCTAATCGCGGGAATAATCGACAATACATTTTGTGTAGGGTATTCCATTGAAATAAATTACTCTCCAAACATTGTACATACTCCACTCCATTTGAACATGCATTGGTCTGTTCTATTTACTGCACTTGGAATGTGGATTTGCTGACCCACGTCAGACATGTACACCGCTTCAATGTGAATGCCTTTGGAATGCATTCAACAATGTAAATTATTGGATTTGTATAAATCGCAATAAATAAATGCAACAATTAATTCTCCGCGCAAATCGAAAAGAACAACAACGTGTTTAGCACATTCCAGTTATGTTTTATTTTTTGTTTCGTCATTTGCCGTTGGCTGTGGAATCACTAGGAGGTAGCGAAAACAATTTATAGATCAGAGTAAACAATATTATCTGCTCACAAACGTACATAAATATATGACATTCAATTGTATTCATGAAGCGGAATGTTTGTACCTATGTATATGCATGTATGCATACAAATATTTTTAATAATTAAAAATTAAATATTTAAGGAAGTAGTGTGGTCAGCAACATAAATTCTGATGAAAAGTACATCAATATGTTAAATAAAACTTCTTTATGATATTGTCAAAATACACAGCTATTTAAAACAAATTAACATAGACTTATGACAGGTGCGAAAATGGACAAGTTAGCTCGCTCATTATTCTTACCTTTCCAATAAAGTTGGCAAGTTCACCATTTGGGACGAATTTGGCAATTTTCAAAAAATAAAATCTGTTAAAATCTTTAAAATACCGAATATAGCCGTTATATTGGGGTCTATACGACGTGGACCCACATAGGCATTGTTGTCATAAGCCATTACCATATTCAATTTCGAAACTTGATATAACCGGTGAATAATGTAGCTAAAATCATCAAAATATCGTATATAGGGAGGTACCGTTATATCAGAGCTATACGAAGACCTGGACCTGCATAGACAATTTTCTGTCACAGACTGTAGCTTCCATTACGAACTTCAAATACGACATCTCAAACAATCAAATTGTCAAAATACCGAATTTAAGGAGATACCGTTATATGGGGCCCGTACGAAGACTTGGACCTGCATAGGCAATTTTCTGTCACAGACTATAGTTCCCATTACGAACTCTAAATACGTAATTTGAAACTACTACGGTGAATAATGTCGCCAAAATCATCAAAATACCGAATATTGGGGGTACCGTTATATGGGGGCTATACGAATACGTGGACTTGCACAGACAATTTTCTGTCTCAGGCTGTAGTATCTATTTCGAACTTCAAATGCCAAATTTGAAACAATTCCGGTGAATAATGTTGCTAAAATCATCAAAATTCCCAATATCGGGAGGTACCGTTATATGGGGCTATATGAAAACGTGGACCTACACGGATCATTTACGAACTTAACCTGCCTACTGGCAAAATAAACATGTGTGTAAAATTTTAGCCTTCTATCTCAATTCGCTCGAAAGATAGCGTGATTACAACAGACAGGCACACAGACGGACAGACAGACAGACGCACACACAGACAGACGGACAGACACACAGACAGACAGACAGACACACAGACGGACATGGCTAAATCGTCTTAGAATTTTACGCTGATCAAGAATATATATACTTTGTTGGGTCTAAGATCATTATTTCGATGAGTTACAAACGGAATGACAAAATGAATATACCCTCCATGGTATAGTGGAGGGCATAAAAATTATAAACAAATGTAGGCTGGTTTGGAAGTAGTTACGATATCCAACAAATAGCTAAATTAAAAATTTAATCAACCCAAAGACCCGAAAATATTTATGCGTATAAACTTCCCATCATAGACACTCAATTTTGTAAGAGTTATGTACCAAACAAGTAAAAAGCAGTAAGTTCGGCCGGGCCGAACTTTCGGCTCCACCATTTGGAACGAATTATAAAATTGTCAAAAAAAATCCATTAAAAATTCTCTTAAAATCTTTAAAATATCTAATATCGGAAGGTGCCGATATATGTTGGGATATACGGTATTGTGGACCTATATAGGCAATTACCTTTCAGGGGTTAAAGTGCTCACA